CAACACAAGCTTTTCCATTTGCTACTCCCCAACTATTACCAGTAATATATTTCCATTGAAATACACAATGATTACATGTTAGACTAGCTGGTAAAGATACATTAACATGTATTGTAGTAAATGTAGGTTCAACAAAGTATTTTGTTGAACCATGTACTATATTTAATAGGTTTAAATCAAGACAACTTTGTGTCGCATCTTCATTTAGATTGTTTTTTTCAATATTGCATAAACGAAATTCAAATACTCCTCTATGATTTGCTGTTAACTATTATATTGACAAAATAGTTAAAATTAAGTTTTCTATAATCAAATTTTAAACTTACAACAACTGTAACAGGAATAAATGAACCTTCAATATATGTACGAACAATTTTACCTAAATACATAGCATCACCTCTACCAAGTAAACGGGGTTTGATATCGTGAGCTTCACCACAAATTGAACATTTTCCTCCTAAAAAAATGTTTTTAAATATGTAAACAAAATTAAGTGTATATCTACCTTGAACAGCCCATTGATAATAAGCTCCACCACAAGACATTTGCGCATGATTGTAATATTGACAACATGTTGCAAAATCAGCATCAAATAACCATGCTGAACTACGTGCCGGTGGATCAGCTAAATAACCATGGCCATGGCATTGTTCGAAAATATAAAAATATTGGATAAAAATCAAGATCAAACTAGAATACAACATTACTCTCCTCCCTATGAATGAAATGCACTGAAGTGCAAAAATATCACATAGTTTATATCATCACATAAAAATATAGACAATGAATAAATATATAGACCCAAGGTTATGTATTATATCTGAATAAGTTAATGTGCTCTAAACAAAATTAAGACATCCAAATAAAATTCATTAAAATCCTGTTCTTTTTTAAATTTAATAACTGAGATATAATAATTTAAAAATAGCAGATTTAAAATCATAACAAAGAATATACAATATAGGCAAAATCTATGAATGGATTTATATGCCAATACGATTGTTTTGTCTCTAAATGCTCTTGAACAATCAAGGTTAATATATGATTAGCACTATTTTTCTAGACGATAAACCTTCACCGCTTTTATTGTTCTGTTGACAATCGAGTAACAGTGTATACGTGCGTGTAAACAATAATAGTATATTACATATAAATAAAAATTTGGGAAAAATAACGAATAAATGGAATAATATGTTTTTAAAAAATAATTGTCAATATAAAAACAATTTTTTAAGGCCCAAACATTGTTCGTGCAGCTGATGATTGTTGTTGTTCGTTATCAGTTGATGAAGGCATATTACCACCAGCACCGCTCGTTACACGTGAAAGAAATGATTTAAATACTGTTTTCTTCATTTCATCAGATAGTTTTTCATTTGAACCAAACTAGAATAATAAAAAAAATCGACTTTATAAATAACCAATTTTAGCTTTTGTTTTTATCATACTTTACAACGAACAAAACCATATAAATTTGTTACATTTAATGCTAGAGCTGCACCTGTAATAATCTAAATAACAAGGTTGATTAGTACAAAGAACTAATAAGGACAATTATTTACAATATATGTTGGAGAAAATAATGTTGTAATAGTTAAAAGTATCCATAAAAGTATGGTAAATACTAATGAAAGCCAAAAAATATTTGATTCAATTGGTGATACAGTACTTTTATCAGTTCCCTAAATCGAATTCAAGTAATATTTTTAAGTGAAATTTAAATATTATAATCTTACTTTTTTTGATTCAAATATCCAATGATTATTTCCAGCATCATCAACATAATTCCAATAACGAAGACCGGCTAATAACCGACCTGTTATATTTTTTACTGTCCAAAAATCCATCGACAGAAGAACAATTATAATAACAAATGATGTTACAAAACTTGCTTTTGCCCAAGAACACATGAAATAAGCAACAATTGCTAATGAACGAAATGCCATATGAAAAAATACCGCAATTGGATGCCTAAATTAAATATATACATTATTTATTTAAAAGATTCTATAGAAGTTATTCTAATCTATATATTGAAAAATATTACTTCTTATTGCACTATATATTCTGTTACCGATATTATGCAACTAACATATGTTTTGAAATTATGTTATTTCTAGTAAAGTAAGAGTTTTGATAATCTATTAAAACCAATGGTATTAAAGGAATGACGATAGAAAGAATGCAAAATTCAAATATAACTCTACTATTTTTCGTGTATACTCAGTGTTAGATCTGTCTATTATGATAGGAATATGTATATCAACATTTAAATTTCCGTATCAATTTAAATGTTATATGTCTGTTTGAGAAATGTATTCATACTTAAATCTTCTTGAAGCTGCAATTGATGGGTCAAATGCTTCTAAAACTTCTTCTTCATTCGATAATAATTGTGCCATTATTTCAACTATATTCGAATCAAAACCAATACCATAAAAAATAAAAGAGTTTCATTGATATTACTCATTTTTTACAGCAAAAACTAAAATAACCCAATCAAAATAGAACAAGTGACATGACAACCATCCTTCGACCTCTACTGCCCTTCATTCTTATTAGTGTATTTTCTAGTCCATTCAAATATCTCTCAGATGCTGTCGTAAGCACAAGCAAGCAAGTGGACGATCAAATATTTTGCATATAAAAAACCGCGACAGTTATCATTCGTTTTCTTCAATTACTCGCAAGAAGAACTAAACGAATACATTACATATTTTGTACATGACACTGCGCTATGATGAAATACTTGCTGATAATTCTTTCGGACAAATAATCGGACCAACAACATATCATATAAATAATAATACTATACCTTCTTCTTCAATGACAACTAATAGTGATATAATGACAGAGGAAAACAAGCCATTATCTCTTACAGAAGAATATGATTTTCCTCTCGAAGATTTATTTAATATGGCTCGACATTTTCTTAAAGGTAAATATCTTTATCCTTGATTTTTTTTGCTTTCGATCAATTTCTTTTAGAAAAACAAGGAAGCAAGGCTATTCAATTAAAATATACAGAAAATGTACGTTTTGTTGCTCTATCAAAACAAGCAACAATTGGAAAATGGGATTCATCTCATACGCAAAGTGTTGGTCTTCTTGATGTTGTTGGTAATGATCGAAAGTAATACAAAAGAAACGAATATATTTTCCAAGTACAAAATCTTTTATATATATTTTTCAGACAAGCATGGATAACATTAGGAGATATGTCAAAAGATCAAGCAAAAGAAGAATTTGTTAAATTATTATTAGAACGTTGCCCAACTTTTCGACTTCATTTAGAAGCACATCATGTTGAAAATGAAGAAAAAGAACGATTAAAGTAAATCTACTGATAATTCTAGTTGAAATATATAAATTCATGTTTACCGTAGTTAGTTGAATAAGGACAAATGAATATTATACTCTGAATATGTCAAACTTATTCTAATAATTATCAGTCATATGTTGTCTCATAAATACAGAAGAATGTCTGTTTTTGACAATGATTAGGAGTAGCTATTTTTTTAAATAATAGATTCAAAGAAACAAAACAAAAAAAGATATATTTTTATTGATTCTAACATGTAGTCTACAACATTGACAAGTTTCCTTTTTCTTTCTTCTTGTCATTTCTTTATATATGAATGCTTTTTTTCACTAATAGAAAAATATTTCTGTTGCGTGATTGAATCGATAAGAACAGTCTTCTTCCTTCAGGCAAAAAAAGCAGCTCATATGGTTTGTATGCATGTTTAGTTTTGATAGATCTAATCAAAGTATAACTAGTCTTCAATTGAGACTTAACAAAATCAATTTATCAATTCGAAAGATAAAATAAAGTCGAATTATTTCGAACGTTATCATCAAAGAATTATCTTAGTTAATTTTTTTAAATCGGATTAAAAATCAATCTCTGATTTATATTATTTCTAATATGTCTATAATTTTCTTTGAAATTTAATTTATTTTATTGTTCATACCTGTATGTAATAATACCATAATAATTATAAATTTTCTGTTCTTCTTCTTCTTCTTCTATTTTTTTGTTCTTTGCTATGCAATATGATCATACACTATGCTATATTCTGGTTAACATCTCAATATTTCTTTCAACTGTTGCATTCCATTCTTTCTTTTCCTTCTATCTACTTATAAATAACGTTGTACTACTACTATTGCTGCTGATTGTCGTTTCTACTGGTAGCTGTTGGTGTTGTTCGGTTGCTTTTTTTC